GGTTCCTCCCACAGGAGACAGCTCTCTCTGAGCTTCCAGCATGAGTTCATTTTGTGAGCAATCGTTCCCTGCAAGCTGCTGCAATGTGAGTCCATCCCATGGGCAGCAGTTCTCTCCAAACTGCTGCAGCGTGGGTCACTCTTCTCACATATTCTCACYCCGCTCTTCTCTGGCCACAATTACAACTGCACAATAACTTTTTTACCTTCTTAAATGTGTTATCCCAGAGGTGTTACCACCATTTCTAATTGTCCCAGCCTTGGCCAGCAGCACATCCATCTTTGGAGCCACCAGGGACTGGCTCTCCTTCTCACAGAAGCAACCCTGCAGCCCCACTGCTACCAAAACCAGGCTATTCAAACCCAATACACTGGCTGAAAAGAGTTTAGCATCCTCACCACCCTGGTTATTGGTTCATTTATAGAAATKAGCTGTCCCCATTACCATTTAAAAGTAAATCGGTTTTGCTCAGTTCATCTGACTTGTTGCAGTTCAAATAGATCTGTGCTTTCTTTTTGCTAGTGTGGTGCTTCATTGTTAATCCTTTTATTTTGTAGTGGAGAGTCACACAAAACTTGGTGCTTTGTGGCTTTAACAAAAATGAAGAATGTGACATTGTTTTTCCCCRATACATACATCTCTCTTACAATATGCAGATGGAGTGGATAGTAAAATTGAATGCTTTTGTGTTTGCTTAGAAATCAGAGGTGAAAAAGATATACTCAGTAACTGTATRGGGTTTAGGAGCAGAGGGATGTCATTTATGGATAATAACCCTAGAAGGTGCTGTATGTACATGCCATCCCTTTCTCATTACTTTGTAAAGGGTTGGGTGTGCAGATCACTGCTCAGCTGAACTTTTCTGTCTCTTTTGTTTCCTTGGATATCAGAAATTAATGCTGCCAACATTTAGCACAGCTTTCCATTATCTGAAGGTGTTTTATTTGATGATACTTTGTATATCTGAACACACTATTCCAAACCACCTTCAAGGGATGTTGATCTTCAGTGCAATTTATAGGGCCYAATTCCTACCACCAGCCATACCTCTTCAAAAATATAGGCTATCAGTTTCCACTTCTTACTTGACCCTCAGGACCAGACCTGTATTGACCCTGAGGCTTTAGAGAAAACAAAACAAAACCAAAACAATTATTTCCTTTGATTGATCAACTGCCATGAGTTTGATTGTTTTAAAAAAAAGACCCACTATGTGCCTTTTTGATGTCATCTGTTGGGACTGCCTTCTTCCTCTGGAATTTGACTCAAATTCTCCTGTTGTGTGGTTCTTGATATTTTAGAGGTTCAGGTTGTGGATGCTGTTCCACTTTTGTACACCCACTGGTGTATTTTAGTAAATCTGTCATTTATGCTCARTATAACAGGGTCATTTAACTGCAGGATCTCATCAATGCAATTAACCCTGTTCCATCAAAATGAGGAGCTGATTGTCTTGGCATTCATGGGARCAGAGATCACAGTAGAGTACTGCAATTTCTGGCCCTCCCAGAGCAGTACTGCAGTTAATTGATTATTTTCTGAATTGGGCTTGCATCGGTATCCTGCTGGTTTATTATCATCCAAGTCACTTTATGCACCATGCCTAAGTCAAGTATGGTAAAAATCAATACTCGAAACATTTTTTTTCTTGTAAAGATCTTACCATCCATGGGCTATCTTTGATACATGACTTTCATTCCACTTGCCATAGAGCTAGCAATTTTTTTTGTGGTTAGTCCTATGCTATCGATCCTCAGATTCTGATCTGTACTTGATCTTYTATCCTAATGAAAAATAAATTAATTAATTAAGAATGAAATAAACCAAAAGGCTATTATTGTAGATAAATAAGCCTAGTTTTGAGGTGATAAATTTAATGCTATTTTAGTACGAAAAGCTTATTGCTTCACTAGGTTCTAATAAATATCATACTTTATAGGCTTGAATAATTTAGTGACTATTATCAAAAAGCCTGAGTTGTATGAATGTTGCTTTTTCTGCTTCAGTTAGAGGAACAAGAATTTAAAAGATGGCATAAGGTTGAATTATATGTGGGATTGAGGGTTGGGTTCCGGGTTTGAATGTCACACAAGCAGAATTATGGGTGTTACAAGATGGGAATTTTTTCCAATACTTTTCTGCTGTTGGACATGCAGACATGTTCTGTCTTGCTCATGTTTTTGAAACTATGATGTGGTACTTAAAGCATTTAAGTAAAGTACTACTGATGTCCAGAGGAGGCCTACTTTTCTTTCAGAAGAACACCATGGAATAGAAGCAGTCAGATGCAGTCCCTCTCCTGGTCCAGACTAGATATTAAAGCACAAATTTCCTTTTTGGAAACAAAAAAAAAAAAAAAAGACATTATTCTAATGTAGATACCTAGTTGGCAAGAAGATTAGGATATTGCTAAGTCAGCTGTGTGTGGCTGTAAATGGGCAGTTTTCCACTCAGATAATTTGATTTGCATTATGATTTTCCAAGTTTGTTCTTTGGGGATCTTTTTTTTCTGGAGTATATGGATGTTACCTTTTCTTGGGTTCAATGCTTTCTAAACAYGTCTTCTTGAGGAGAAAAACAAGTTCTTACCTTGTGCTGTGAAAGTTCACGCTRCAAGGCAACTGACAGGCAATTTGTTGGGAGAAGCTACAAAGGCCTTTTCCAAAACTTTCAACTATTTTTTGACAAAAATGCCTAATCTTTTCTGGATTTGATTGTATGGCTTACTGTCATTTGCAAATATGAAGAAACCCCTTTGTTTTGGTCATGAAAAATAGGTCCCAGAATTTCTGAGACTGTTCTATCTGTGGGTGATGWCATCTTTACGCCCTTTCTCCAAGTGGAAGTTGTTTCAGAAAACAGCCACAGAGTCGCTTCAGTTCATAATATTCAGTGAATATTATACCTCTCTGAGGGGTGTATTTCCTTGTCTCAAGGGATTATGTTATATGAAAAATACATTATGCTGTATTGTGAAGAAATCAGATAAATGAGATTATATTGAAGAGGGAAAACAGCCCTGTGCTATTTCTGCAAATTGCTCCCMCTCTTCCTTCCTCAGTATTGCTTTTTAATTAGTAGAAATCCTTCTGCAGTAAATCCTTATTCAGTCTTAGTGCAGCAGCTTAGTCTCTATAGCATCACTGAGATTTATCTTAGAGCTGTCAAACATTGTGCTTATACTTTGTTTACTTTGTACAATAACCTGGTGCCACAAAMTACACCTTATTATGGGTCCTCCTGAATCACTGTCCTCTTACCAGCTTATCTCATATTAGGTTTCATCTTTACTCTCAATCTGCTCCACTTTTAATGAACCTGCACAAGTATTGGGAACACACATATAARTGAAAGCACAAATTCAGTATTTTACCATGGTGCCTTTTAAATTCATACATGTGGATTGTTATAAAAAACATTTGATGCTGCCTTTTCAGGCCGTGCTCTGCCCCATCCTGCACATTGTGAATTGGTGTTCAGTTTTCAGGGTTATAATGAAGCAGTATTGCTGTGAGGAAAGCAGCTTTTAGCCCCCATTAGTTAGATACCAGATTCATTTCTGTCTCAGATACCTCACTGAGCTTTATCTTTTATGCTCCTGCTTTAATTAACTGAGACAGAAAGAYACCTCCAAGAATGACTAAACTGACCTAGGATGTGATTGAATCTTTGGATGAATTTGTTCTCTGTTGATTTTGACTGACACTATATATATGAGTTGCTGTGACACAGCAGTGTAACTCAAATATATGATTTTTTAATCCGAAATGCTAAAGACACACTTGTAGAAGTGGTTCTCTGAGTTATTA